AAAGAAAATAAAATATTTTAAACAGGGGATAGTCACTGTGAAATTCTGGAGAAATATATTCCTGATTAGACTTTGAACCACAATGGAAATTAGGAGAAAGGGCCTGAAGAAAGGTGCACAGTTTAATGTTCAAACATTGCAATCATTTAGAAATTCCAATCACAGGTTCCAGAGGTGATTATCTAAAACTAGATCATAATTTTTCCTTTTCAAGTTGTAAAAGTCTTAGCGATTATTATTTCCAGGACTGTGGCAACTGTAAAATCTAATCTGTTTACCTGCCTCTTGAGAAGTTTTACTCTAAAACACGACAGCCTCAGTTAATAAATATTCTCAGTAGATAAACAGATATTTTCTCAAAATTACTCCAGGGAATTCAAAAACTGCAGTAAGAAAAAAAGCGATTCTGCAGAAGGAATAAAGGTGAACTGGCATTGTCAGAGAGGAGGTAAGACCTGCATCATGAGGAGAGTTGCTGTTGTTGTGGCTAAATGGGTTTTTTGTTTGTCCCAGGAGCCTCTGCCTCATCTTCTGTATGGCGGCCCGTGGCCTTTGCTTTCCTCGCTTTGTGCCTGGTGCTGCTGACGGGGCTGGTAGCCTTGCTGGGCCTGTGTAAGTACTGTGGTGTCCCCAGCTGTGGGAGCGCATTCCAGACGTACGTCTGCTGCTTCTGCCCCTGCGGACTGTCCCTGGGGTCCCTGTTCCCCCAAAGGATATAACACAGCTGGAAGGGCAAAAGTACAGTTCTCCCACAGAAGCACCCCCGCGGCCGAGTGTCTGCACAGGTCACTCAGGATCACTAATATCTGCACTTACAGTTACCTTAACCCTAAGGGTTATGCTAATCCTAATGCAAGACCGAAACCTAGCTAATCCTAGCCTGATTAGCCAATCCTAGCCTAACTAACCCCTGACCTTAACCCTAACTCTGACTCTAACCTTAATCCTAACTCTAACCTTAATCCTAACTTTAATGACACTAACCCTAACACTAACGCTACTCCCTAACTCTATCCCTACCCCTAAGCATAAACCTGACCCCTAAACCTAACCCCAACCCTAATCCTAACCCATAACCCTAAACATAACCCTAACCCCTAATGCCTGACCTATACCCCGAAGCCTAACCCTAACCCTTACCCTAAAACCTAACCCTAACCCGTTTCTGAAATGCTTAGTTTTCACAGCTAGAAGCTCATCTCGTTAGCCACACTCCCTGGATAATGGTGCCTCCCTGCGACTGTTACTGGAATATTTCACAGTCAACAGTTCCCTCTTTTCCTCGGACTGCAAGGTTTTTGCGGGGAGGGCACTCCTGGCATCAAAGCATTGTGACTGGTGCATTTGCCCAATGATTACAGCAGATTTTCCACAGAAACTTTTCAATTAACAACAAAAGGTGATGCCACATTACATCTGGAAGCAGAGACAGAGAGTCCCTAGTTTCTTTTTGGCAGGAGGGAAGCAGTTGCAAGTGCCCAGGATGAACACTCAGGGTGGTCAGCAGCATCACAGAGATGTTAGCTCGGAGGCAATTCTTCAGGTTTCTAATCTGACACCCACCCTTTCCTCCCCACCGTTCAAAGCTGGACTATCACGAACCCCAGATAAACGCATCTGTAGCTTTGTCCAAATGACTGTTGAAAATCTTCAAAGGCGGAGATGCCCCCACCTTCCCAGGTGACCTTTTCCAGTGCTGCACAACCCTCCTGGTGAAGAAAATGCAGACGATATACACACAATGGTGGGCATAAAAATGAAGTAGACAAAAAAATAAAAGAATGCCAAAAGCTACAAAGTAAAGCTACACATTTTTAAAAACAATTTTTGATAAACACTTTCACGCCCTTCAAGTTTTTCAGGTTTCCAAGAATCCAGAGGAAGGAAAGAAGCTGCAGGAAATTAAGGAAGCACTGTGTTTTGAAGGGAAGGAGAACAATGGTAAATGTGGTTATTATGTAAATAAATATAAATTACCCCTTTTGACTGAGAGACTATAAAATCACAGGAAAAAGATCTGATTGGTTAGTGTCTGTTTTTAACTGTGGTAGTATTTGAGATGTGGATATGTGTACACTAACATGCAAAACAACTTGTCACTCACCCCTCAAGAGCTCAGATCATTCATGGCTACCCTTAACCTTTTTTTCTCAGTCAAGCCAGTAGCTAAAGTCCCTCTATTCCTCACAGGTCTGCATAATTCTCTCTCTGATTTCCAGAAACAGATTGTGCTCTCTGTCCAGCAAGCTGGCAAAACGGTGGAACTGACAACTGCTTCTACATTTCAAAGCAAAAGAAAACATGGAAGCAAAGCCAAGAGTTCTGTTCCTCGAGAAACTCCACTCTCCTTGTGCTAAAAGACAAAGCAAAGATGGTACAGTCTTAACCTCGTGCATTCCTTTATGTCATGTTTTTTAATGTCCAGCAATCTTGCAGGCAGAAAATAGTTTGGTCCTTTACAATGCATGTTTTTAATTTTCTCTGGGTCAAGTCACGAGATTGTCACAAATTGCAACACTTTCTAAATTGTGTGTTGTGAGAAATAGTGAAATTGTGTATTATGAGAAATAGAATAAACCGTTGTATAAAATACCTTAATTAGTTAATACTTAGGTTTTCATAGAGAAAACAAATTGCATATTATCAGCATGGAGGAGGGACCCAGCACACAGAACACGTTTTCATTATCTCTTTCCACAAGTTGTATTACTGATGGGTCCCAGCATCAAACTCACATCTACGTGAAATGTGGAGAGTGGCTGATTCACCATGGTACTGCCATCTGCAAGCTGCAGTGCAAAGTGGCTATAAAAGGTGGTTTTCTGACCTTGTGTTATACCCTCACAGAGTGATGTTAATGATGGCACAAAGGTGAGACGGCAGAGGGTTATATTATGATGACTGAAACAGGTCTAGGGAATTAATAATTTTAAGTAGTTTTACTAATTCGAGGTTTTTTTGCTGACTAATGAAAAATCTGTAATTTGCTGTCAAGACCATATTCTTGACATTTGCTGTCAAGTTCCACACATACCTGGGAACCTCTTATTCAACAACTATCAATCTTGGACAAAGCCCAAATATCCTTTTTTTCTTTTTCCTACATAAAACTTTTAAAAGGAAACTTTTTTTAAAGCAGTTCTTTTACCGATCCAGGGTGCCTTTGTCTTGTGTTAATTCAATAAACAACAGTATTTGAATGATCCTATAATCAGAGCAGTCAGCATCGCTTCGTGGAAAACAAGCATGGACAACATGTTACTCTCCTATCGAGTATGAGCTATCTCCTTTGCTTGCAGAACTTCAGCTGGAAGACAGAGGAACTTGGGTCTTAGTTTTGAAGTATTGTTCTGATGAATTTCCCATACCTACAGGTTTATCTGCCCCAGGATCCACAGTTTTACTGGGTTGGATTATCATACGTATCTGAAAGGAACAGCTGGTACTGGGAGGATGGAACAGCTTTTTCAAAAGAAGCGACAAACTGGTAAGCCTCCGTAACTTAGGACCAGTGTGGTTCTACCCAATGGGCCCCAGTAAATTATAAGAAACTTGTGCTTCCTCTTACTTTCCCATGTTTGTCACGTGCAATGATGAAGGAGCATGGAGATCATAGAATCTATCTGCTATGGAGCTTCGAATTTGTGTCCTGTATAAGGAACAAGGTGGCAAAATATAGCTCGATCACATGCACCAGGCTCAAAAGGACCACTTAGCACAAATAAAATAGCTCCAAGGGCAAAAAAACTCTACATTCCAGTGACAAGTCAGTATGATTACAAATGGTCCAAATAAAGGTCACATGATGTCACCAGGGTATCATTAAGCCATATCTTTTCATTTCCTAGGGTTGTGTTATATGACAACATCTTTTGTGCCTCCTTATATGGACATAATATTTATGCCAGCCAGCCTTGTTCAACAAAGCAATTCTGGATCTGTGAGAAAGTGGCTGTTCACGTCACCTGAAGAAGCACTGCAAGAAGTTATGTAGGATCTGCCACTGTGAGATACCAACTTTAGGAACTGGAAGTTTTAAAAATATTTTTGGTTGTGTTTGTTTGTTTGTTTGTTTATCATGATGTGATTCAAATGGACAGGTCATTGGAGACTAAATCTTCCTCTTTGCATGCATTTTCTCTTCCAGGCTCACAAATGAGAGAGAGGGAAAAAACCTACAAAGCTAAAATCTACAGGCACAGGAAGCAACTTGAAATAACTGCTATAGTCAAGCAATGATTCCTGTGTGACTCTCTAGTTTGACAACCACACATTCTCACAGATCTCTATATTTCTTGAGCTTTAGTCAGCATTTTACACTAACACCTGTCAGTCATAAACCAGTCCATCTACATCCTTGATTATTTCATTCACTGAATTACTTACTGTACACACTAGCTACTGTCCATCCATAATCCTCTTCTAGACCAGTCTGCCTAGGCATGCCTTCTTTCCTTAAATCTGTTCTTCCAGCTGTTCCCCTGTTTGAGGTATAGAGATGCAGAAAGAACACAGGGCTCTATTCATCCATAAAATTATTTTCACATATGCATTAATATTTATAGAAACAAAAGGACATTTTTTTAGAAGTCTACAGGGAAGCCCTGGAAGCAATCTCTGTGAAATGTAGAGTCAAATGTCATGGTTGGATTAAAACATTACCTGAATAACTTCAGTGCTACCATAACATTAACTGCTATGCAAATAACAGGAAGGATGAAAATTACATGCTCCATTCACAGCTACACACACTTAGTACTCAAACTGATGCAGAATCCATTACCACAAATCTTACTTGATCTCTTGTATTATATCCACATTGTTTGGGATCTCTGGAGCTCAAGGTACACACCATGTATCATGTGTTATTAAAGCACTTGTCATACTTCTTGAAAGAAAATTATGCCTCTACTTTTCTGGGTGGAGTTTCACTGCATGACTTCTTTGAAGTTTTGTATGTCAGAATCTGTTTTGTATTACATATGCAAATATTCCTTATATATATATATAACTTGTACCTATGTGTATTTGCCTTAGTATTTGGAGACTTTCCTTAAAATAAATGAAAAAGTAATAACATATGTTTATTAATATTTGATATTTACTTGGAAAATATTATCAAAGACTGAAGGAGTTCCTTAGTAAAAAAATGAACCCCTTTTCCTAATGTGCTGAAAGATGTTTGTGAACTGAATAAATTCACTATAGTCGCTAGAACCAAGTCCTAATTTATGGGCACAAGTGCCAGTTGAACTATCTAGAATTCCTTACTATTGCAGTAGGAAGTGTAAGATACAATGCAAGTAAGGTACAATGTTTCATCTCTTTCAACCCATTCAACTTGAAAAAAATAATTCACAGCAGGGATTGAAGCTGCCACTTTTTACACCTTTTTCTTCCCATAAACTATTTTTTTCTAGCAATCTGCTATACACCTTTGTTTGGTAGCTGGGTTTCCTACTGACTGTCCAGTGGAGTTTTTAGGGAGCATTCACTGCAGGAAGGCCAGATCAATGGTGATAACTTGCCCAGTATATTCCTTTCATTTCTATGGCTGGATGATCTTTATAAACTATTTCCATATCTTCATATAGTAAACTCCATTTGGTCTCAGCCCAAATCTTGGCCCCAACAGCTTGGAAAGAGCTCTTCCCTTGTTAACAGTGGTGTATTTCAGAGGGAAGAATTTATAGTATCTAGTATTTTAAATTCAAGCAAATGCATTATTTCATCCAGTCTGCCTTCTATCTCAGAGGCTGTCAAATTTATCCTGACTACACGTGCATGGAGCCCAAGACACAAGCTGCTCAGGGAGGTCCAGTCTTTCCATGGCACTAGCAAGTTCAGAGAAGCAACTCATTTGAAGCACATTTTGTATCAAAAATAAAACCTAGTATAGTATACTAAGAGTGAGAGTAAAGCCATTGGTACAGCCTGTGACATCATAAATCTTGAAAGGTTTGGGAAACAAAGAGAAGTTGTTGGCTTCAACATCCCTTCAAACAGGACATGGACAGTGAAGAAGACAGGGGTGAAGTGAGTGAAGGGGTGCACTGGGGGAATGAGCCCTGCAGTGCCATTCTGAAGTGGAAGGAGCTTCACATTTGCCCATCTACAATGAGATAACCAAGACAGTGAAATGGGAGCAGCCTAAATATCAGCTTCTGGGTAGGAAAAAGCAGAGTTCATGGGTGTCAGGAAGGCTGGTTCAGAAATGAAAGAGTTGAACCAAACACCCTGGCTGTATAATGCCTCTTCACATCCTCCACTACACTCTCTGCTCCGGGCCCTGCACTGCGGGCATCCTCTCTCATTCCCAATGGCCTCCATCATCATCGTTATGAGCACACCTGTTGCCTTGCCCTGGAGGGTGTTCAGGCTTACCAGTAGGTGCCAGTGCTCACAGGCTGAAACACACTGTCAGCAAGACGCTAAACAATATGGTGCCTATCTGTGTTCACAGACACTGTCTGTAGAAAGCAACAAAGAAAAATTCTCCTTCCCTGTGAAGGTCAGCCAATTTACTAAGGAATTTTATGCTTATCTGTCCCTGGATCTTCCATCTCTGTTCTTTCTATTTCAAGTCAGAATCTTAAAACATTTAGCATTTATAACATCTTTCACTGATATGCTTTTAAATCAGTGAAAGGTGACTAAAAGACTACAGGAAGGTGCCTAGGACCACAACTACAACAGCAGACATGGGGCCATCTCTTTATCAGCCAGTGCTCCCTTGGAGGCCTCTATCTTGTCCCCATATTCATACTTACGCTCTGCCGGGACTGATTAGAGCATTAATCAAATTAATCAAATGACATTGCC